ATGGCTTCCGTCATCAGAGATCAACTGGTGACCTGCTCGCTTACGTCTCACATTGGCAGCAATCTATTGGAGAATATGGTGAAACCTTAGCTGTGGCACTTGATATCTCCATGGCATTCGATCGAGTCTGGCAACACGGACTCCTCGCCAAGCTTCTATCTTATGGCTTGCCTCCCCAGCTATGTTCTCTGCTAGCTAGTTTTCTCACAAACAGGTTTGTCTTTGTAGTGGTCGACGGAGTTTCATCTGACTCTCTTATCATAAATGCTGGTGTTCCGCAAGGATCAATTCTAGCACCAACACTATTTCTATTCCATATCAACGATTTGTTGAAAGTATCTTCATGTCCAGTACACAGCTTCACGGATGATAGTACCCTCCATACCGCCTTCTCTTCCAGGGCTCCAATACCAGCCAGGCAAATCAGAAATGTACGAGGGAAAAATGTTGACAACATAAATAAAGACTTGGCAACAATTCTCGAATAGTCTCGAAAAGTCGATCTCACTGTGCACAACATAAGCTTGTCAGGAGTAACCATACCTTTGAAGACATCCATTTCGATACTTGGTATTACTATCAGCAATAACCTTTCTTGGGAAAATCACGTGAGGTCAATTGCTAAAAGTGCATCCCAAAAACTTGGTTTTCTGTTTCGGGCCAGGAGCTATTCCACTTCCAGTCAGCTGCTTATATATGATCTATAAGACACAGATCCGACCTGTCCTGGAATACTGTTTCCATATTTGGAGTGCAGCATCCAAACATACCTTGAAACTGTTGGATTCTGTCCAAATAGGGCAATTCGTTTCGTTCTCTGGAACACCGTAAAAAATTGGCGATCTGGCTCTCTTTTATAGATATTTTCATGGACGATGCTCTTCTGAAATATCAACAATTGTTCCTCCCTTGGCAGATCCGCGAGATTAACCCGTCGAGTTGAGGCTTCGCACCCCTTCGTGGTCACTTCGGAGACCTGCAAAACATATCCTTCCAAATACTCGTTCATCCAACGAACAGCGAGGCTCTGGAACACATTGCCAAGGAAGGTCTTTTCCGAGGGATATACCCGTCAGAAACTTAAGAAGAACACCAATTCCTACCTTATTTCCCTTGGTTCTCACGATGTTCTCTGAACATTACAGTATATCCCTTTCCATCGAAACCAGAACAAGAAGAAAATACTAGAGACTTAAGAGTCCCTGCCTGGAGAAACTAGAGACCAGAGAATAGGAACTGAAGGCTAGGGACTATAGACTCTAAAGACTAGAGACTAGTGACTATAGAAACTAGAGATAGAGACAGACTGGAGACTTCAAGGGCTAGAGATTACAAAATAGACATAGACTAGAAATATAGAGATATTATAGGAAGCAGAGACTAGACACTGAGAGAGACAGTGTTCCTGCGGAAAGTTTATATTCTTTGGAATAAAGTTTATTAATATATGATTTTATCATTCTGTATAATTTTGTTGTGATTGAAGGTTGTTGTTGAATTTCAGTAAAAAACTTAAACATCTGTCTTGTCTGTGCTGATATTTTTCAAGTGAAAAACGGTTTCAAACCAGTGCCAAACTCCGAAACCTAGTGCAAACGCACACAGACAGGGTGGAGTCTAGAGACCAGAGACCAGATATTTCGTTGGCTACTGTGCTTTATTTGATTGAATTTATCTGCTTCGGATTATGAACACCTCAATGAGCATTTGAGGTAGAAGGGCAGTACAACGTAGTTGTTTCTATCCTGATCCCATGATAATTTCGCTCGTCTGTCACCGTGTGAGATTGCGGAAAGAGAACTTCCACAGACGACTGAAAATAAATTCCACGAAGGGTTTTGCCCGAGAGGATCGGCAGGTGTGATATATTTCACCGGAAAACGGAATTGGTTGGTGACCAAACACAAAACTGGTGGGAATCCAACAGCAAAAACTTAAATACTGAAATTCGCACTAGCATTAACTTTTCAGAAACGGGTGATGTGTCCGTTCCGGAGTGCTCGTACAAAATTGATGATATACAGGGTTGTATCTGAAGAAGACCGAAAAAATTCAAGTGGTGATTGCTTGTGATATTTCCGGAAATGAAGTTAATATAAACATGCGTCCAAACTTGCTTCGTTTTCGAAATACAGGGTATTTATATTTCCATGAAAAATCTTTTTTCTATTCATTTCTCAATTGTGATTTCATCAATCTCAATAAAACGTTGTAGTTTTGTTGATAGTAATATGGAGCTTCTTCTAGTGTAATTAGATTCAAAATAATATGTCCAGTGGCGTCACACCAACGGTTTATCTGAGTTTCATATTCTTATTAGCTTGAACTATTGAAATAACAACTTTTTCATCCTCTCTGTGATTTTTGTACCTAGCTTAGTTTTTGGGGAAACAATAAAAAGTCGATTTGACTCCCAAATTTCAGTGTAGGTGTTTTCAAGACTTCCATTGAGATTCCCGCACTTCAAAAATAACATCCCTCGGACCAGAAAACAAGTCTTCCAAAAGATTAATCGGCAAGGATCTGTTGTAAACACCTTTGACAAAATATCATTCGGCGCTCGGCATCGCCAGGGTGTGAATGTTGTACTATTTGAAATTTATAGGGATGATACTTATATTTTCGCAAAATTCTTTGAGCATCAGACTTGGATACACCAGTTGCTTCCTCTATTTGCTTGCAAGAAGATGAGGGCGCCGCTTCTACATAACCCAACACCGTTGACTGAAGTATTGGTTCAATACCTCAATCAACGCCAACACGTTCATCAGTTTTCTCTCTCTATCTTGTTTGGTGTATGCCTTAGGACGGGGTTGGATAAATGATCCATACACTACTAAATTTGATTTGAGGCGGGAAAATATGTCTGGGAAAGGTTGTCTTCTTTCTGGATATCCAATATGAACAAATAAAGAATCCCTAAGAAATTATCGTAAACATAGCGCTCCAAATATGTTACCTTTGTGAATATAATTCCGAAGCATCATTAGATTGTATGAAACAAACCATCATATCATACTTTTCATTATTATCGTGAACGTAACGTAAAATGATTCAAATATTTTGTATCGGGAATTAGAAATATCAAAACAGCAAAAATATTTCACTAATAATCAGAAACTGACAATAGCGCGTGATGTTTTTGACATTTTGCTTTTTGTTCCAAAAAAATTAGCCATGCCTACCTATCATAATTAGACACAGAAGAAAATTTTTAAAAATCTGAAATTCTGAGCTTGTTTTTGAAAATAACTGTATACAATTATATATTTTTGGAAAGCCCACTTCATGCTCAATGGATATATGAGATAATATACAGGGTGTTCCATTTAAAAAACATATGTTTGCTCCATAACTAAAATACAAAATGTGCTAGCAAAAAAATGATTACGCCACTGGATTCTAAGAGACAAACTCTATGAGAACAAGGTTTAACTTCTTCGATAAGTTCAAAGATAAATGTGCCTGAAAAGTGATATTTTTCAATTCCACCCTGTATCTCGACAACCGGAAGAGCTATCACAATTCTGCTTGCTCCATTTTTAATTTCATAAAAAAGTAGCACACTGTCGCGAAAACCGCAATGCTCTATCTTTACTGATAAGGGAGATACCCCGCAAAAGTGCCCAAATTGGGATACCCTGTACATCGTTGCATCTCTTGACATTTCCAATATACATTCGGATCCGGTATATTGCATCGTATGCCGGCACTGAAACCTCTCAAATAAGTATGTATTATGTATTATTCTTGTTACACGACTCGTATTTGTACGAGCTACATCAAAACATTAATTTATTCATGCTCTGTTTTTTGCTTCTACAGGAAATGAACCGACATAGTATCACACAAAACAAGGATGAGGAAATGGAGTGAATCGTTCAGCTTGACTAATAGATTGAGTTTGTAATTAAATTTTCATTGAATTGTGTTATGAACAATATTTTCCACCATCATGAATTCGTGGTATTCTGAGCATCATTCTTCTTCTTCTTCCTCTCTTAATGGCCTCTTGTCATGGGACATACTGCTGAAGCCAACTATTGCTATAGGTACTGTAGGTCTCAACTTCTCAAATGGAAGGTGCACAGCCACATGGATGTTCATGTTCATCTTTATTCGAAATCCATGCCCTTCATGGGTGGGATAAGGTAGAACAGAGGTGATTTACGACTTTTTTCCACCATTAGCTATGAAACATACCATAATTTACTCCTTCTCGAGGCATAAACTGTGTTTTTACTACCAAGACCATAGCCACCTCTGTTGTAATTAACCTGAATTCACTGTTCTGATACTTCTGATGCGATAATCACTGGAATGACACTCGAATCAAGTAGTAACGACTTGTCATATGTCAAACTGTCCAGGAGAAAGCCAACATTTTTGCACATTTATTTGCTGAAAATTTCATCAATGGGATCTTGTAAAAGTCGAACTGATCGAAATGGATGACACTTCATCATGACCACTTTTTCTTCCCTAAAAATTGGTGTTTTCCAGATTTGAAATTCGACGTTTCGTTTTCCACCATTTTCAATTTTTTTTTTAATACGGCATAAGATTTTTCATTTCATTAGTTCACACCTTTGGATATCCAAAGAAAAAACAATAAATGTCAATTTTTTAAAACGAAACATCCGAAAATAAGATCTTGTCATAGATCATAGCTTTCGGTGTAATGAAATGAAAAAACCAGGTCCGTATTGGAAAAGTGGATTATGGTTTATGGAAGACGAAGCGTCAGAATCCAAATTTTGAAACGCCTTCTTGTAGGGTAAAAAAATTGGCTATGATGAAATGTCTCATTTCAATGAATTCCCCCAAATAACTTGAGAAAATAAATAAAAAAGGAAAGTATTCGGTATTTTCCTAATGTCAAAACGGCATTTTGATGAGCATAATATTGCCCAACTCTGCCCAGATAACTCTTACGGTTTACGTGATACCAATGATTTTCTACTGGAAACATTATCATGATTTCTGTTTTTCTTTTTCAGGGTAACATATGGCAGCAACTGCTGTCATTCCATTTCATTCTAGAAATAGTCAACACCATTCCATTCACGATAACTGTGAGTATTTGGATCGATAATTTACTTGGATATATTTTCGTAGTGAAATATCAACATGTTGTCACTAATAGGTACTTCAATTTGTTCACAGATTTTTTATCCATCGATGCGAAACCTGTTTATACCGGTATTTTTGAACTGTTGGCTAGCTAAACATGCGTTGGAAAACATGTTCGTAAGTATTTTATGGCACGAACTTCTACCTTCTGCATCCCCATACACGTGCTGTTTGTTCACCGAAAACGTAAATATCCTGTGTAGTACACCTTGCTTACACATTTTTGATGGGATATTTGAATGCATTATGCAAATATGTCCCGCGTTTTCATAAAATCCAGACTCCCACATCGGCGTAGATAAGGGGGGGAAACTGAGAGACAATACCCCCCCCCCCTCCCTGAAAGCACAAAAATAGTAAAACCAGTTAAAGACTCAGAAACAATAATTAATAATGAATTCAAAATGTTACATATCAACAGGTTGATGCCTGATCATGTTCTATGCCAGTGATTCAAAGATTCTAGTAAAACAAGTTTCTGAATATGTTAGTAAATTTAGAAATGAATTCTCTCCCAAACATTTTTGTCAGATTTGTTGCAATCAGAAATGGATCTTTGGAAAAATGAATGGGAAGAAACCAAAAATGAACCTATAATAATTTACCTAAAGAAACAGCCTTAGATACTTTACAGAATTGCAATATCGAAATATTTCCCACTATTTATACACTCCTGCAGTCTTACAGCCTTAGATACTTCACAGCATTGCAGTATCGAAATATTTCCCACTATTTATACAGTCCTGCAGACAAAATATGTTATGCCGGTGAGTGTGGCGAGTGCTGAAAGATCATTTTTATGCACTTAATTAAGACACTGAAATCATGGTTGAGGTGTACAATGGGTCAGGCTAGTCGGATTAACTTTATCTTGAACATTCATAGATATATTGAAATAGATATAGATGCTGTTATCGAGACAATGAAATCATGGTTGAGGTGTACAATGGGTCAGGCTAGTCGGATTAACTTTATCTTGAACATTCATAGATATATTGAAATAGATCGATAGGTTTTCCTCGAGGTTTTCAAAGCAATGTAAAAGACTTCGTTTTATAATCTAGTCACGGGTGTACCTGATATTTTGTTAATTAGATTCAATCAAGAGTTTTGAATGATGGGTTACCTACTTTATATTATCTTATATGGTGAAATTGAGAGATTATTTCTTTTTTTTTCTTCATCTAGTTCATATAATACGCATATAAAATATATTTTCATCGAGAATTTTTATCTTGATTTGTTCATTCGAATGACTGATAATTGTTATTTTGATAATTTTGAATATTCAAAGATATAAAAACAGCTTTAATGAAAGTTGAAGCTAATAAACCACCATTTTGTGTTGATTTATTATACACTGAAACGCGTTGTACTACTAGGCAACCCCCAAATTAAAATTTAATATCTGCTACTGAGTACCCCCCCTAGAAAATAAACATACCTACGCGCCTGGACTCCCGTCTCTTTAGGGACAAAATATTGAATGTTTACCTCTAGGTACGTCTCATTCGAAGTGGTTTTGAATTGTATACATCATAATATATCCCACATACGAGCAAATATCTGCTCATGCCAAACAAATTTATTCTGAAGCAATATTCCGAGATTGTTGCAGATGCTTATAATATAATCCTGATACTTTGGCTCAACTTTCATAATTCACAGTTAGATTAGGATATAGTGGATGGTCTTATGTTCATGTCAATAATTTGCATCTCTACTTACATTTACATATTCGAAATTGTAAGAATGTGAGAATGAAATTGAGAGTAAGAAGTGAAATCAAGATGAGATCAGAAACATTACTTCAAAGTATAAAAAATTCGCATTTTTCTGTGACGAAAAAAAGTTTGACATTTCATCACTCTTCGAAAATTACTTTCTCCTCACGGGAAAAAAGTGGTAACTTTTTTCCGGATACATATATATATATATATTAGGTATATGGTTTGTGGGGATGCAGCTGATGTGGGACTCAAAAGAAAACTCTTTTTTTTTTTTGAGAAAGCTTTCGGAATTTATTCAATTCCTTCGTCAGTCTCTCTAAAATGAAATGTACAATTATTATAATATTCAAGAGAAATGGGTATCAGAAATTACTTACAGTATATGAGATTGTAATTGCAAATCAGAATAAGTAGTATAAAATTGTAAAAAATGCATAAATTCATGGATATAAAACTAATATAACTTTGTCAAAGTGACATGTGACATGAAAAAAATACATGAGGTTGAAAAATTAGATAGGTAAAAGGTTGATCAAGATGAAATTGAATTGATTGATATATTGTGTCTATCATGCCTTTTATTCTCTATTTCCCTCGATTTTGATTCGTTTTTCCTGTCACAGAAAAAAAATAGTGTATTATAGACGGAAAAAATATTAGATTTCAGCTCACGGTTTTTTGTCTCCATCCGGTATGCGTCGGGAGGCAAATATTTATAACTGTATTTTTCCTTCCTGTTTTCAATCCAAAATACATGATAATTGAGATTGCAATCCTTTTTAGCACATCCTCTATGAATGCGTTTCTATGGCAATGCTCAGGATACTGATACTCCTCTTCGTTAATAATTGTTCTTCACTCAAAATTCAATCGATATTTGCGATTATTTCATTCACACATGGCTGCACCTATTAAATCCCGTGATCGAAATCACATGATATGTAATAATATGAGAGTATATTCAGCAGGTAATTCATCTCGGGCAACTTGCATTCTGAGACAATATTGATCATAGAATTCAGAATGCTAATGTTCATGATACATGAATCGATGAAACTGTCAAAATACAAGGTATTCTCGACAGAATTTTGAAGAAAAAAATAGTGGGCTATTCGCCATGGATTTGGGATATCACTGTTGATGATTCGCAATCCATCTATAATAGTTATTTATGTACTAAGGACGGAAAACTGTCTTAAATAGTCGAGTCTGTAAATTGATAGACGAGGCCTTAGCCGAGTTGATATTCATTTCATCGGAAAATACCTTGTCAACAATTTTGATCTATTTTATGCTATACGAGTTCCAAGAAAGGATAATGATAAGGAAACCTATGACGTCAAATAATAGTAATGATTATAATAAAGTTTATTCAAAATGTTGACGATATAAACTGGAAGTATACATATTGGTATTAAATAAACAAAGAAAACCTCACGAAGTATAACTTGTTGTGAGGAATATAAAATAAAAATTATGGTTATTGAATCAATTGATTAATTCGAGACAGAAGTAATTTATAAATGAAGATGGTATTGTTTCAAATTTAGTATAAATAGATATTGAATATCAACCAGAGAAGCAAATAAACTCCTCGAAGAGAAAAATATCTGGTTTTTAATTTAAGTTTTGTAGCAATAAAAGGATTAACAAAATCGCTTATATGGATTTTGCATTGTTCAGCTACTGGATATGATCTAGTAGGCCAAGTTTTTTTTGAAAAAGTGGACACCGCTCAGCCCCAGAATACACCTTTTCCCCCTCTATACATTTCAGGAAAATCGCTCCATAAATAGAAAAATGATGCGTGTGGCCCGCTTTCGAATCGGTCACTAGATCAAGATTTTTATCTGATACATTGGCATTATCATCGTTTCTGTTTCAGAACGACCTACATAGAGCCATGCAGAAATCTCAATCGGCTCTATCTCAACAGCTCACGATCCTCTCTGCGACCCTAGTCTGCCTCGTATTTACCAGGTAATTGCCAGTCTGGAGACACGCCAGAGAAAAGGTGGTTCAATAATGGCGAATGAGCTATCTCGGTATTTTTTATTTTTCTTCGGATCCAGCTGTAATCTGCTTAGTTTCGCTCGGAATATTAAGTGCATAGCTTACGGCCATACTCGTGTAAACACAAAGCTTTCCAGCGACCTATATCTGCGGTTTCGTTTGTGTATCAGTTAAAGAGTACGCCTATGGAGATGATTTTAAGCTTTTTCGAAGATGAAAAATAGTTATTCATGCACCAAGGATAAAACACTGTCTATTATAGTCGAATCTGCAAATTGATAGCCGAGGCAAATATTTTGGATCATCAACTGTAAAATAAGCTCCATTTCTATGTAAAAACAGAACTTTCACAGAACAATAGTACGTTGGGAAGGTTCATAAAAAAAATATCAAACAGTTTCCATCATTTCTCTCGAAAAACTGACATTTAACAAATTTCTCCGACCAACGATCTCGCAAATTTTCCATGTCAGTTTTCCTTGTAAAATTACTGATCGGCAAATGTGTTTCGTTACCAAGAGAAATTCATACGATAAAATAAAGCTCTTGTGTTTCTACTGTTGATGAATTTTTTTACGTCTATAACGTCAATTAAGTTGAAAGCCAGAATGATGTATGCAGTGTACGCAATTGTCGCGAGTCGCTCGTTCATTGTCTCAATCATGAAATACTCATACGAATACAACTCGTGATACTATTTTTCCTGGAAATATTCCTCGATTCACATTCTCCAGCTTGCTGCTTCAATTTCGCGATATTACATAATATGATAAAACCTTTTCGAACACACGTGATCCTGATGGTAGTAGATCTACTGTTCCTCTCCAGATAATTAGCAAAATACTGATATGTGAACATTTGACATACACTATCGAAGCAATCTATTATTGCCGATGCAAAGGGTCGTTAATCCAACACCATTTTGATTACAATTCCATCAGCTAATTACCTTTCAATGATTCAACAACAGACTGCAGCAATATTCAGGATGTGGCTTCCCTTTATGGCAACTACAATTATCATTCACATGTGAAATTTATCCGAGTTAATATTGTCTACTTGATATTTGGGGAGATGGTCTGAGTTTTTGGAATGTGTGAAAAAAAAATTGGTTGATAGTCGATGACATATCGTTTTAAAAAAAGCGGTGTTGGGAAACAGTTCATCGAAAGCTCGTCACTATTTAGTCGACTTGCGATTATTTCGTTAAAACACAAAGTCAATGTTTGACGAGGCAACGTCGTATATCTTTGGAAAGTTTTGATTTTCGATTGATAAATATCGACTTCGTCTTTACGTTGGCTGTGTAGTTAGGCTTCACTTCCACACCATCAGGAGTTTCGTTTAACTTTGGCAGTAATTAATTTCCACGTGAAGGAAATCTCTTCGGTTTCTGACAGAGTTCGTTTAATGAGTGAAACTTGGGATGTGAATGACATCGAACCTTTGATGCCTCCTTCAAGAACAGAACCACAAAACAATTTTTTCTACAGCTATAACACAAGATTTCTCTTGTTTCACTTTGTTCGATGAGGTACTTTGTATGTTTTTATTTTCATCGCTTGGAGCGCACGAAAGGAAATCCCTATAATGTTCAGAGAACATCGTGCGTTCCTAGGGAGAATAGGAACAGGAGGTAGGTATTGGATTTTTTTTTGAACTTCTGGAGATTATACCGGGTGGTCCATTCAAGACTATCCACCCTCGATATCTCCCAGAATAATTATTCAACGAAAAAATTACGAAACAGGTCGATTTTTATTTGGAGGGGGACACATTTTGAGGCAAAATAAATAATCCATACTTCAACCCTCTACTCTCCAGAGCAACCCCCTCAATAATTTGAATAAGGAATAAGGGTCGTGTTATACATCATTGGAAAGGTAATTTAATTCGGAAACTAGCAGTGCAAAGTTTTTTGAATTCCAACAACTCGTTCTCGAGATATTCGCTTTCGAATGGTATGTTTTATAATTGTGAGTAATTGAATGTACAAAATGAATTAATGAATGGTCATCTACAACAAATGTTCAAAATCACCTACATTGACTTCCAGACAGTTGAAGAATCTATTTGTGAATTCCTTTCGCAAATTTGAAATATTCCTCTAGTTATTGTCAGGCATTCAACCCTAATTCATTTTTCTCATCGTCCAGATCAGTAGATTCCGTTTCATAAATAACGGATTTTGGTTGACCCCAAAGGAAACAATCATTGGACACCATGTCCGGCGAGCGTGCTGGCCATTTTATTGATCCTTCACCACCTATTCATTTGTTTGTGAAATTTTGGGGTAGCCATTCATTCACGTGTGATACGGGAGGTGACACATATCTTGTTGAAACTAAATATTATCTGCCAATAGATTTCGACTACCATCATCATAAAGGTCCGTAGCGGACCATTAGAATAGACAGCACATCTGCCGGCTTGGCACCCAATGATTTCCTTTTACGAAGTTATTTGAAATCCCTTATCTATACAACGAAACCCACTGACCTGAACGATGTGGAAAGAAGAATGAGGATCGAATACCAGATGAATATCTTCAAATGTTTAAGAGAAATGTGAACCTTGTTGGTTGCCCAAAGTATCCACTGATGGATATCTACCGATTTTCAAACCTAAATTATTTGCTCACCGAGTACACGTGTTCGTTTTTTTTGCCAACATGATTGAAATCGGTGAAAAACTTATCTTCCGACAATTTTTTCCTGAATTTGTGAATTCAGTGTTGAAACGAGAAATGACCACGCATTTCGAGAATTTTACTTCTACCACGATGGTTTACACGAAAGACGAGAAAGTTGAAATAATTTTTATTTTTGCTGTTCAAAATGAGTGTGCACGAGCAACAGCTCGAATTTCCAATGAGCAGCACGAAAATAGAAACGTAACTCACAAGTGAGTATCAGAAATACAATTTGTGGGAAATATGATGAATATGAAGAAATTGATGCATTGAAAGAAATACGGTGAGAATTCGCATTATCTTTGTGATGAAAGTATTGATTCTCTCTCGCTATCGACAAACATTGAATTTGAACACACACGATAAGAATTTGGAGAATAAAAAATAAATAAAACCGTCTGATGTTGAGAGTTAGTATTCTCTTTCAGATAAAATATCATGGAACATAATACATATCATCATTCTGAATATACCGAGAGAGAATCGATACTTTCATAACAAAGAAAATGCGAATTCTCACTGTATTTTTCTCAATACTCCATTCTTTTCTATTCATAATATATCTGATTATCTCAAAAAAATGTGAATATTACTTTTTTCATTTAAGATATATCTTGGATCTTGTAACGAAATTTCGGGAGACTGGATCAGTTGCCAATAAGAAGAGGAATAGGATGCATCCTGTCACAAATGAAATCAACCAAGTAGAAGTTTTAGGATAGGTTGCAGTAAATCCTACAATGTCTACTCGACAACTAAGTAGCATCACAGGAATATCCAGAATTTCTATAATGAAGATGCTGAAACAGCACAAATTTCATCCTTAGAAGTTGAATCTTCACCAAGCATTAAATGAGGATGACTATGATAGACGATCTGAATTTTGCGAAAATATCACAATGATACAGAGGAACCACGAATTTATTAAGCATATTTGCTTTAGTGACGAGTGTTCATTTCATTTGAACGGTTTAGTAAACAGACACAACTGTCGTTATTGGAGTCAGAATAACCTTCATCTACTGAGAGAAGAGCACACACAATGGCCCCAGAAGTTGAATGTGTGGGCAGGGATTTTGGGTAATACAATCATTGGACCAATATCTATCCAGGGTGATTTGAATGATATGGCCTACTTGGATATGCTTCAGAATCTAATCGAACCACTCATTATGAATGCTGTCAACACTGACCTCGATGATGATGGTAATCCAAATCTATTAGCAGAAAATATTTTTTTTCAACAGGATGGTGCTCCACCCCATTACATATTGCAGGTGAGAGGATGGCTATCCCAGAATTTTCCAGACAGATGGATTGGTCGTAGAGGACCAATAGAATGGCCAGCACTCTCACCGGACTTGGCACCCAATGATTTTTCCCTATGGGATCATTTGAAATCTGTTATTTTTAAAACGGAACCTACTGTCCTCGATGATTTGGAGAGAAGAATAAGAACTGAATGCCTGGCAATATCTAGAGAAACATTCTCAAATGTACAAGAGGATTTTCAAATAGACTCTACCACTGTCTGGGAGTCAATGGAGGTCATTTTGAACACTTGTTGTGGATACCTGTTCAATAATATCTATTTTGTACATACATTTACTCACAATTAAAAAACATACCATTCGAACTCGAATATCTCGAGAACGAGTTGTTGGAATTCAAAAAACTTTGCACTGCTAGTTTCCAAATCAAATTACCTTTCCAATGATGTATAACACGACCCTTATTCCCTATTCAAATTATTGAGGGGGTTGCTCTGGAGAGTAGAGGGTTGAAGTATGGATCATTTATTTTGCCTCAAAATGTGTCCCCCTCCAAATAAAAATCGACCTGTTTCGTCATTTTTTTGTTGAATAATTATTCTGGGAGATATCAAGGGTGGATAGTCTTGAATGGACCACCCGGTATGTTGTTGGGAATACTTCCTCAGGCGATGAATTCCAGAGCCTAGCCGTTCTATGGATGAAGGAGTTTCGATAAAGTGCTGTTCGACATCTTTCGAGGTTGACAACGAAAGGATGTGCTGACTGGGCTTGTCTAGTTCGTCTGACTGGTATTGCTAGTGAAGAGATGATAGCAGAGATTTCCAAAGACCATTTCCCGTGGAAGTATCGATAGAAAAGTGGAAGGTCGATGACCTTTCTACGGTGTTCCAATGATGTCAAAAAGTGAGTGAGTGTGGAGTCTGGATGGAATCTGAGAGCATAAGCGTATGTTTTGGTGCTGAACCCCATATGTGGGAACAGTATTCTAGAACAGGCCGTATCTGCGCTTTCTATATCATGAGAAGCTGTTGAGGTGTAAAGTAGCTTTTCGCACGGAACCAGAATCCGAGTTTTTGTGAAGCAGCTTTTGCGATGGATCTGACATGATTATCCCATGAAAGAGTGTTGCTGATGGCAATACCGAGCATGGATATGGTGGGCTTGGTGGGGATGGTGGTGCTAGACATTACAATATCGGGCATACTGAGTTCCGCCATTCTAGAGAAAATACAGGCTTGAGTTTTAGTGGCGTTGAATTCAACTAGGTTGTTGGTTCCCCAGGCTGTGATTTCAGCAAGGTCTTCATTGACAACATTGACTTGCCTGCGCCGTGAGTTCTTAGTTTCCTGGGAAGAAATAGGAATGCTGGGAGAGAACGCAGTATGGAGAGTACTTTCATCTGCAAAGGTGTGGATGGGGCAAGTTGTTACTCCCAACAGATCATTGATATGAAGAAGGAATAATGTTGGTGCCAAAATTGATCCTTGTGGAACGCCGGAACTGATGCCAATGGTATCAGACGATACACCGTCCACCACCAAGTGAAGCGATCTGCCTGAAAGAAAACTCGATAAGAGATGGCATAGCTGAGGTGGTAAGCCGTATGATGGTAGTTTGTGGAGGAGTCCTTCGTGCCAAACACGGTCGAATGCTTTCGATATGTCCAACGCGACAGCTAGAGATTCCCCGTGTTTTTCTAATGAAGCTTGCCATAAATGGGTGACGTAGGCAAGTAGATCTCCAGTAGATCTTTGGTGTCATCAATTTTATTTCCGTTTCTGATGTGCTTATTAGTTCATAGAATGAATTCGACATAATCTGAAGTTAAACTTAAATGTCATTTTTATCTATGAACGTCAAAAAATATCTAGTGTAATCTAATGCTCCTTTCTTCAAGGTGGAGAAAAACATTTTCGGAAATTTGTTTAGTTACTATTGGTAACGATACAAAATGCAGTCTTCTATTTGCCCGTGAATGTAGGGTGTGAGATTTTCATGTTCATCTCAAAAATTTACTCATTGCGATTCATTTGATGAGTAGTTCAATTATTCGAAAATGAACTAGAGCAACATGAATTGTAAAGTTGGAAATGTTGTTAAAGCAGATATTTTCTTGACACCTCTAATTAATACCAGCGCTCCAAAGCGCTCCACTCAAAGCCCAATTATTTTCAGTCTCAATTTCCAGATTTTGATTGTTTTAGTGAGGAGTTATATCTTTTCTGATTCGAGCAGGGGATATTTTCGTTTGCAAATTAATTTTGGTACAAATTGATACAAAACAAAGCGAGAATGAACGTGAGTTGGGGATTAACGTGAGGTGGGTGTTGTTCTGTGATGTTGCGAAAATTTAAATGAGAAACAGAACACAAAAACACGATCCTCAGTGATTGCAGTCTGAGCTCTTAAACCCAGTGAGAAATTGGGAAAAAAATGTCTCCGATATTACTGTCATTATGTTTGGTTTTTTTCAGTTTGTGTGGTATACAGCACTGCCAAAGGGCAGGTCACAGACATCTCAATCTATTTCAAGCCACCTACTATGTAGTTGTGACGTTTTCTACAGTAGGATATGGAGATTTTGTGCCAGACATTTGGCCATCCCAGCTCTGGATGGTAATCATGATATGTGTAGCTCTAATCGTCTTGCCCACACAAGTAAGTACAAAAATTATTCCACAATTTCACAAACACAGTGAATTATACTCACTCAGTGATGGACGGTAGAACCTAAACAAATTTTATAAAATATTAAAAAACATTAACTGCCGGTTCTTTCATTGGAATGACGTCTGAAATATTAATTTTGTGCCTGGCTATATTGGGAAATTCTCGACTGGCAGCGCTTCAATTAAAACTTTTCAGTCCAAGCAATATATCTAATACAAAGAAATATTAATTCCAAACTGTGGCTTTGCATGTTACTGTAAATTAGTCTGACGGATATACTTTTCCTTTTTTATGTAAATGAGCTCTTCATAGGAATCATTTCGGAAATTTTAATTCGATTAATTGAATACATAAATGTGAGGTCACAACATTATCATAAGCAGTTTTTTCTACCAAGAAAAATAAAACCTTCCTTCTTGTCGAGATGTCGAGATGAATGAACGTAGCAAAAATGCCTATCTTTACGCATAATCACTGGATGAATATCACTCATTACTTTGGAGATGGACAACCACCTGGTTTCTTGCTTTGAAAAATCTCGATGTTTCAAAGCAAAGCACCAAAACACACGTATACACACTGAACTGTACGATAAATTTTAGTTCGTTACTTGTAAATGATATGTTTTTTTTTTCTGAAACAAATAAGAGACTTACGATGCCGACGGTAGGTATAGAAGAAAGAAAGGAATTTGATATAAATATACAAGGTGTTTCAGAGGTCGATTGCAATCAACGTATGTGAGACGTGAGAGATCGATGAAGACCAATAATGTTATATCCAAATTTTCTTCAATATTTAGGAATCTTCGAAAGATACTGCTCTGAAATTGTCAGGGCAATTCACTATAGTGAATGTGCATGGCAAACATATCATATCAATTGAATCAATATACAGGGAGTTAGGTATTTCGCATTCTCTTTGATAAAAATTGATGTAATTCTTTTTGCAGTACCGTACTGACCACATTGTGATATTCAGATAAATGTCAAAATCAATTATCTCACTTTTTTTAACTGTAGTGTTCTTATAATTCTTCTTGGTGCAAGAGATATCTAACAACATTTATTTTGGTGGTCCTCCATACTCCGTGTATGATTATGCCGATTATCATGTTTTGCAAGTTTTTCCTTATTTGTGTCCACAATGATAATGTTCATGAACTACCTTAGCATATGATAATGTTGTTGTTCATCTTCGGACTTATTAATTTTTTCTCGAACGAAGTTTTTTTACCAGAAATCCTGAACTGACTTTTGAAAATGACCAGCTCCCATATCATATGTTGAAGAGCTTACGGATTGGTGAACATGAATATTGTGGTCAATAATTCAACAGACATGAGGTTGAAACGGGCGAAACGTGATTATTCTAATATCATAAACGAGCAGTATGGGGAAACACGAAAATAAATTTTGTTATTTATCTCGAAAAAAGAGACCTACAAAAAAAGTGAGATTTTGTCATTCTTCGAAATATCAAAATATGATCAGTGCCGTACCCCAAAAAAGTTACTTACATTAATTTTTATCAAAGAGGATACGAACTACCTTACTCCCTGTATATTGATTGCATTAGTACGACATGTTTCCGATGCACATTCACTACAGAAAATTGTCCTACGAATTTCAGATTTCTTCTATCTTTTGGAGCGCACGAAAAGAAATTCTTATAATGCTCGTGGAACATCGCACTTACCTAGGGAGGACAAAAACAGGAAGTAGGTGATGGAACTTTCGGAGGTTATACGTTCCTGGGAATACCTCCAATGGCAAAGAATTCCAAAGCTTTGCCGTTCTATAGACGAACGAGTTTTGGTAGAGTGCTTTTCGACATTTTGCAAGGTTAACGACGAAGGTATGTGCTGACTGGGCCAGTCGAGTTCGTCTGACTGGTATTGCTAGTGATGGAATTATAGCAGAGGAACATTTCCCGTCGCCGACTCTTCTACGGTGTTCTAATGGGGTCGAAGAGTTGGTGGGTGTGGCATCACCCACCAGACGAATGGCTCTTCTCTGGATGGAATCTAAGAGCATCAGCGTATGTTTGGGTGCTGAACCCCATACATGCGAACAGTATTCCAAAACTGGCCGTATCTCTGCCTACCATTCAAGGATTTCGAAATATTGAAGAAAATCTGAAAATAAAATTGTCCTTCATCGCCTTCTCACGGCCCAACGGTGCATTTTCCTATAGAGCTAAGGTTGTTCAATCGGCCTATTTTATTTTAGTCTCTGGACACCGTGTATAACAGAACACAATAATTTGATGTTATTCATGTATGTGCTTCTTTTTCAAACAACTGAAACGCAACGATGTATAATCTTGTTATAATTTCAAATTTAGTTAACAACTGATTTCAGTTTCAATTCAGTTCATTATTGAATTTCTCATTTGGTATCAAAGGTTTATAAATATTTAATTATAAACAAAATTCAATTATCTTCACAGGGTGAGAATAAAGAAACCACAAGCTTTGTTCAATCCTGAAATTGAATTCCCAATTTTCAATGGAGTTTTTTTTCCATTGCAGCTCGAACAGCTGGCTTTCACATGGATGGAACGTCAAAAACTGGGTGGCTCATATTCATCCCACAGGGCACAATCGGAAAAACACGTGGTCGTCTGCAGTACAACACTACACGCAGACACCATCATGGATTTCCTCAACGAATTCTATGCTCATCCTCTTCTACAGGTGAGAAACATAGTTACCGGAAGTAATGTCACGATATTCTGAATATTCGAGATGATTTATTATAAATCAGTGAGTCATTTTGACAAGTACAGCCATAATTATTTTATGCCAAACTGACAGACTTGTAACATCCAGGAAGCTTTCGATGATAATATATTATCTGATGCATAGGTAGTACAGAGATGTATAGAAATTTAACTGGTGAGCTCACTCTTCAATTGTTTCGTCAGACTAACTCTCGATATGGAACAATTGCAAGCGAGTTTTGGACGTGGGGTTCAGGTTTTTGCGATAGAGGTGCCATAATCGGAAAATCGTTCAAAACCTTGGTTCTGTGGGGGATGAATCTATTTCCATCATTGTTCTGTGGTCGAATAAATACTGTGCTCAACATTTTCATTCAAATTTCAATTTCAAATAGAAGCAAGAAATCTTTTTTGTAGCCTATATTTCAATAAGATTCACTTCTTTCATGACATGAACCTATTTAAAGCATGAAATCTGATGAATTTCCTCTTTGAAGAACCAGAACAAAGAATGTATCAACTATTGAAATAGACCAATATCGAAAATCATAATAGGCAGATATGGTAACTGGTACTCACCTTAGAATTTATTCAAACCAGTTCACGCTAATATTTCAAATCACTGAAATAATACTGTTGTAGAACAGAGATATCTTCTTTTTTTTATGGTGGATTAGGTATTATACACAAAATTTAGAAACTACGGAACACGTCCCTAACGAACACTTGACCCCAATCTCAGAAATAACCATTTTTTCAGCTCAAGAATATTTTTGACATATTGACGTTTCGATCCTTTGATCAGGAATCAGTTCACTGCTCTGGTCCAAATCATATACGTATCCAGATATTTATCGGTCGGTAATATATTTCCTGTGAATATGGATTGTAACCAGGATGAGCTTAGCGACATTTCCACGTCAAGTATGTTTATCAAAGGTTTATCAGAGTAGGCGCCATCGAGAAACTTGCAAACGACCTTCAATAGGGAGCAAGCGCACCAGTTAAATTTCTATACATCTCTATCACCATATTCTGAATATTTGAGATGATTTATTATAAATCAGTGATTCATTTTGACAAGTACAGCCATAATTATTTTATGCCAAACTGACAGACTTGTAACATCCAGGAAATGCTTTGCTATATTTCAACCACATTATAAAGGAATAAATCGAAGTTGACGGTATTATACTGTGGTATTATCAACAATTGATGATTTTTAAATATTTTATTATGATCAAATAATTATTTACGAACCTAACCAAACTTGAAATCTGATCCTCACGTCACCAGTTTCCATCCTTATAGATTCAAAGAGTACCTCTCATTCTGGTCCTATTTTTGTTGAGATATAGAAATAGTAGATATATGATTTCTTCAATTTTTTTCAAGGACTACTACGTTGTTCTTCTGTCTCCGATGGAACTGGACACGACCATGCGAATGATCCTTCAAGTGCCCATATGGGCGCAAAGGGTCATCTACATCCAAGGGTCTTGTCTTAAAGATGGCGACCTGGCCAGAGCAAGAATGAACGAAGCTGAAGCTTGTTTCATTTTGGCAGCTAGAAATTACGCAGACAAAACGGCAGCGGTGAGTGAATTTCAATGAAGATTTCTAGTCCAATAAATGAAGGAGGAAAAAAAGGCAAAGTTAACGTTAATTACGCACTATTTTCATCTTCCGGTTGGAAATAGCTTTCGGTAGGTACCTCATTAAACATGAGACAAAGTTTAACTGAAAAACGCGTGCGATGACGGAGAAAATGGCCCCAAAAGACCAGGAAAATAGGTTTCAGGTTCAGTTAATTTACTACAAAAATGGTCCTTATCATTTTTCTCGAAAATTTGCCAGGTTTCGAGAAAAACGGCACGAAGCGCACCTCGAATAATGAGCTTCTGTGTTGTATGCCGGAGAGCACACTCCGTGTATTAACACATCGGCGGGGGGACAAATTATTCAATAACTTTGTTAAAAATGCATATTTTCTCATGATTCATAGTTCATGTGAAAGAGGAATTCTGCTGCTATCATACCCTGCGTGGCCGCATGGTTTGTAGCAGACGACCCGAGCGCCACGTAGAGCACACACGCGGCGAACGACGGAGGAACGAAAGTAATAAATTATAGCGTGTACATTTAGATATACTGTTTTTTTCCCGGGATATCAAAGATATGACTTATATACATCGATGGAAAGGTGGGAATTTCCCCGTTACACTAGTTAAGGTATCAAAATGTTAGAAATAAAGAGCACGGAGAAAAAAACCACCGAAAAAAAAGTGGGTTTTTTCCTTGACCCCGCTTTTTCTAATTTTATTGAAAAATGGACGACTTCGTCTAAAAAAGTAATTGTACAATCGAAAAGTAGACCTTCTTAGCTTTCAAATGATGTATCATAGAAACCAATCGGATCATTTATAAATTTTTAATTCATGGTTGTTCGCAAAATTTCCCCGCGCTCCAAGAACAGCAAAAGATTGGGATTCAATAAACAAAGATTGAATGAAAAATTAAAAAAATTAGGCTATACAAATTTCAGGGATGACAAAAGACCTTATGAGGACCCAAAATCAAGAAAATTTTGAGTAAATTAGTGCAATACAAAAAAAATAGGAACAAATTCCTGGCGAGGTCAAAATTGACCGGGAGCAGAAAGTTTGACCCATGTTCCGATATAGCCAAAAGAGTCAAGCGTGACTCAATTCACAGGGTATGATAGCAGCAGAATTCCTCTTTCCCATGAACTTTGAATCATGAGAAAATATGCATTTTTAACAAAGTTATTGAATAATTTGTCCCCCCGCCGATGTGTAAATACACGGACTGTGCTCTCCGGCATACAACAGAAGCTCATTATTCGAGGTGCGCTTCGTGCCGTTTTTCTCGAAACCGGGCAAATTTTCGAGAAAAATGATAAGGACCATTTTTGTAGAAAATTAACTGAACTTCAATTTTTATCTGAACGGAAAATCTCTAATTTTAGGAGATATTGGCTGAAAACCTATTTTTCTGGTCTTTCGGGGCCATTTTCTCCGCCATCGCACGCGTTTTTCAGTCAAACTTTGTCTCATGTTTAATGAGGTACCAAAAGCTACTTCCAACCGGAAGATGAAAATAGTGCGTAATTAATGTTAACCGTTTTCCCTTTATTTATTGGACTATACCACACTGTTTGAAATGAGTGGCCACTTTCAACAAATTCGTTTATTGTTGAAAACATTCTGATGAATTCATCAACAGTATTGTTAATTTTAAGAATATTCATCTATGTTATGTCATTTGTCAATAAGGTTGTGAATTCTTGAATATAGTAGAAAAATTGTTTGATCTGATATTGTTTCAATTTGCTCTTGAAGAGCATTGAATTTGATTTATTTGCATTATCAGGTAGGCTGTTGAAAAACCTAGGACCATGGAATTATTCCTATACAAACTGTTTTTTTCTCGGAATAAAAAACGAACAAAGGACGACCGAGCGGAAATTAGAGGCATTCAATTATTTACAAGATTCATTCTGACTCGTTTGGTAGCGATTATCCAGCTGTTTTCTTTCTGACGATGCATAATCCAGACAACCGAGAGCACTTTTCATTATCCGCATTAGCTTGCACCTCTCACTTTCAGTTTATTAAACTTGCATCAATCGGCTACATCGAACTGGCATTTCTGAGGAGACTCTATATTATAGATACTGGAGATACTAGAGATTCACTTCGAATTTGAAATCATAATCACATAAACGAAAAATTATCTTCATCGAATCAACAATCCATCACAAATACATTGTTTCTTTTGACACAGTACCTATATCCTAGTTCGTTTGAAGTGCCCTACATGCTCGAAAAATCATAAAGATCACGTAATCTGCTGTCACTGATTTGATTATGATCCAGACTTTTCTCTAGAAAAGCCGATCTCACTGTGCCCAACATAAGCTTGTCAGGAGTAACCATACCTTTGAAGACATCCATTTCGATGCTTGGTATCACTATCAGCAATAACCTTTCTTGGGAAAATCACGTGAGATCAATTGCTAAAAGTGCATCCCAAAAACTTGGTTTTCTGTTTCGAGCCAGGAGCTATTTCACTTCCAGTCAGCTGCTTATGATCTATGAGGCACAGATCCGACCTGTCCTGGAATACTGTTCCCATATTTGGAGTGCAGCACTCAAACATACCCTGAAACTGTTGGATTCTGTCCGAAAAAGGGCAATTCGTCTCGTGGGTGATGCCTCGCTCACAAACTCACTCACTTCTCTGGAACGCCGTAGAAAAGTTGGCGATCTGGCTCTATTTTATAGATATTTTCATGGACGATGCTCTTCTGAAATATCAACAATTGTTCCTCCCTTGGCAGTCCCCGCGAGATTAGCCCGTCGAGTTGAGGCTTCGCACCTCTTCGTGGTCACTTTGGAGACCTGCAGAACATCTCTTTCCAAAGACTCGTTCATCCAACGAACAGCGAGGCTCTGGAACACATTGCCAAGGGAGGTGTCCCCAAGACATATAACCTCCGGAAATTTTAGAAGAACACCAATTCCTACCTTATTTTCCTTAGTTCTCACGATGTTCTCTGAACATTACAGGATATCCTTTGTCGTGAGTACCAGAACATTAAAAAAAATAAAGAAAAAACTTGCAGATAAATCTCCCATATTTTACCAGCGCCGCCTAAAAAATAAGGCCAAATTTGGCTTCAACATTATACATATGGAGGTGAATCATCTCGTTAGTGTGAATTTTCGAGGCCGTTTTCTATCGAAACGGCAATCCATCAGAACTGTATTTTACCGGTACACTGAACTATCATAACCTCATTTAATCAAAACGATAATCTATCATGATATATGGTCTAGGAAGCTCCAATCTCTTCTGCTGTACACATAGAAACGTTCTGACGTTATGTCTCGTCAATAATAGCGAAATATTTCAATTCTAGTAAGTCTGCTCGTAAACCAACAGTTAATCTTTTAGGCTTCACCCTCTAATGGATTTCCGAATATGGTTTGGCGGCAAAGACTAATTAAATTTGGATCTGCAACTGATCTCGAGACGTGAGGCACCTATTATACGGTTCCCATTAATTGCCTATATCAGCTGGATCGTTTTAATGACAAGGCAATTGATTGATAACACCAAATGTTTATGAGGGATAACTGATGAGGAGAAATTATTATTATTTACACCAATATGATGATCCAATTGCATGTAATATGTTGAAGCCTAGGACCCCGCACTTTCCTTATGGAAAATGGCTTTCGGTTAAATTTCATGAATTTTTGCTATGATATAGATTTTGACTCCCTAAGCAAAAGTGTCCATGGGCACAAAGGAATCGGCTGACCAGTTTTCGAGATACAGGGTGTCAAAGATGAAAAGAGAAGCTTTCTGTTCAAAAGTTTTAACAACTCCGAGAATTGACAAAACGCCAATTTATTTATGGAATAACATGCCTGAATGATGGGACAATGTCATCTGGATCTCGTATTCATTATAATTTCACGTTTTGGGCTCTACAACAGGGTGAATAGAGAAAAATATCCAATTCGATTGATTTGAAACCAACCAGGGTAAGTTCTTTCATGAGAATTCAAGATCCAATTGAAGCCTGATGGACGAACTTCCTCAATCTTGATTGAAGTTTACCGACTTTTTTTATATACAGGGTGGTTCGAAAATAGGGGTACGTCAATCTCTAGTTTTTGGAATCGGAAAGGGGAGAGCATGTCATATACATAGGTATATATCAGACATTCTGCAATGTTGAGAGCGGTCCTTTGAGAAACTTGAAAATATTTTCCAGGTTTTTCTCTTGGGCGTTTTAGTTTAGTGATACGCGATGGATAGTTTCCCCGATACAGTGCCTCGCAGTATTAGTTGGCCACCCTGTACATTATGACATGATGAAATAAATTAGTGAATGAGAAATCATTCTCTCAGGTTTGATTTTCTCTTTGCAAGAGGATATGTTTCTTGACTTTAATTTTGAATCGGGTGATATTTGTGCAACTTTTGATATCATCAGGTAATTTCATATTTTGAGATAGCTCCGTGAGTGAACTTCTTTTTACCAAGTGTAGAATTACCAGCATCAAGATGAAACAAGTCATATTGTCTAGTATGATGTTCATGGATTTGAAAATTCCTCACCAATATGAAGTTAGATTTGAGGTGTTTGTTGATAATATCAAAAGAAATTTTGAGAGTATTTATCAGATAGTGCTCTTTCAAAGAAAATGTATTCATTTGTTTCTTCATGAATATGCTGATGATGAAGGATTGATCCTTCGAAACATGTCCTTATGTCCATGACCCTTGGTCATTATCAAATTGTTTATGTGGTGGAGTTGTGACTGTAAGTTATTTCACCCCTCCTGATTTATAGATCATTGTAAACCGACTTCGCTACTCAACAAAAATTCCCATATAGCTATGTGATTTTCTTGTTTGGAAATTGGAAAGCATGTATTTTTTTTACAATTCAAGGATGAACACACGATTTTGCGATCGTGGGCCGTCAAGGATTTTGCTCCGGGAGTGGCGCAGTACGTCCAAATTTTCCGTCCGGAAAATAAGCTGCACGTCAAATTCGCGGAGTACGTTGTATGCGAGGACGAATTCAAGTACGCTCTTTTGGCCAACAATTGCACTTGTCCTGGAGCCTCCACCCTGGTCACGTTGCTGTTACATACCTCGAGAGGGCAGTAAGTTGAAATACGTACTTATATTACTAGTTGATAGTGTTGATAGCACAAGAAATAGTTCAATGATTTATATTGTTTGGTCAAGGGGGTTGATGTTATTATTTCTTGTTGTATTATTGTATTGGGTGATGCCTTGCTCACAAACTCACTCACTTCTCTGGAACACCGTGGAAAAGTTGGCGATCTGGCTCTATTTTCATAGACGATGATCTTCTGAAATATCAACAATTGTTCCTCTCTTGGCAGTCCCCGCGAGATTAACCCGTCGAGTTGAGGCTTCGCACCCCTTCGTGGTCACTTTGGAGACCTGCAGAACATCTCTTTCCAAAGACTCGTTCATCCAACGAACAGCGAGGCTCTGGAGCACATTGCCAAGGGTAATGTTTCCCGAGGTATATAACCTCCAGAATTTTAAGAAGAACACTAATTCCTACCTTATTTCCCTTGGTTCTCACGATCTTCTCTGAACATTACAGGATATTCCTTCTCGTGGGAACCAGAACATAAAAAAATCTGAAAAATGCAATAATACACTTTTCACAAAATTATCATGCAGTCCATTTTCAATAAAGTATTTCCATAAATTTTGAAATCATGATAGATCCAATTCTGGAACGGTTTGTTCCATGTTGTGTATTAAAGCGTTCAAAAGAATAAGATGTTTACCTACTCTGTCCATAAAGTTTGCGTTCAGATCTACAGGGGGAAACATGAACCCATCACAAAAATGAATATTTTCGAAGCTATTCCAACCATATAGAAAAATCTTCGATTTTTTTTCAAGGGATAGTATGATTGCTTGATGTTTTCCGCCAAAACGGTTTCGAGATTTTTTGCTAAAAGATCTCATCAACCCTTTTCCTAGAAAAGAATCTGGTTAGTCACATCTCTTAAATGAATTCGTTGAAAAAAAAAACTCGCAATTTCCAGCAATTTTTTTTACATTTCATCATGGGCATGTGTGTGAATTACTAGATTTGCAATGTAGTTGGCACCGCTGCCAACATAAAATTTCGGTTCTGTGTTCTTGATGGCGCGGAGAAGTAGACGATTTCGAATATTTTATTACTAAATATATTTGAGTCTGGTCTTTGATACTAAACTGCTCAACACATGAAACGTAAAATCGCATTTTTTCGATCAAATTAGAATCATCATAACTTTCGATTTCTTCGTTCGATTCTCAATTATTTTTCAGTTTCTGTAAGATCGTTTCATTGACTCTCGAACCTATGGATATCACTGTTTCATCTTTTCCGGAACAGATTCTACAGGATGATAATCAGAGCCATGCATTTTCCAAAAATTTCAAACGCCTGCCGTTTGAAAGAAAGATTTTTCTATTTGTTTTTGGGGTCGAAAACATATTGCTTCATATGTCTTCTCGATACTGTGAAAAATATTTTGGAATTGTCACACGCGACACGCGTTACTGAAATATGAATGTTTCATTGAGATACTGCATAATTTAAGGCTCTAGTTTCTATTGGCTTTGTATTCCTACACTATTTTACCACTAACGAAACCGATTTTCTAAACGCCTGGACACGTGTTTCGCTAACTATGCTAGCATCTTCAGGAGAAGATTAAAACTCAACTTAAGAATTTGTTTGTATCGAAACTATTCAATATCGGCCAAAACGGCTCATATGTCCTTATCTCAACTTTTGATTTACTATTCACTGATATTCAATCAGAACAGATACAGGGTGATCAGATTTCTGAATCTCGAACCACAATAATGTGATTCAACGTATTCATCAAATTGTCTTACCAACTTGAACTCAAGCAATTTTTTTTTTCAACTGAATTTGAATTCATTTTTTCCACCTTCATGAAACCCAGCTAACAAACCGATAACTATCAATTTGAAGGCATTTGACCTTGAATAACAGAAACATTCTGGATAAGCGACTGTCGACTATATTCTAAAAGGTGGTTGTTATTTTTTAGAGAAGGCCAACAATCTCAAGAAGAATGGCATCGATTGTATGGTCGATGTTCGGGCAACGAGATATACCATATCAAAATGGAGGACAGCCGATTCTTCGGGGAATACGAAGGAAAAAGTTTCACCTATGCCAGCTTCCATTCCCACAGAAAGTAGGTAAATAGGGGCACTATACAGAGTGACTCAAGGTCGATGGGAGGCTAGACGTTCATGGAGAATGCAATAACGAAATATTTCTCTCAAAATTTCGCATCTTACATTTTATCACCTATGCGACGTTACCGCTTCTATCAAGAAGTCTTAGTAACGTCATTTTTTTAATGGATCACACTGTATATATATAAATCATCAATATATTATCATACTTCATGATTTTTTTGTGTCGAAACTATTCATTATTGGTCAAAATGGCTCACATGTCCTTGTCTTAACTTTCGATTTACTATCTACTGACCTTTAATTGAAACAGATACAGGGTGATCAGAATTCTGAATCTTGAACCACCCTATATTCGTTCCGGTTAAATGTAAATCAAAAGTTGAGATAGGGACACGTGAGCTGTTTTGACCAATAATGGATAGTTTCGACTTAAAAAAATCCTGAAGGAACACCCTACATCAATGGAATCAGCTCTTCAGGGATAATCTGAAATTGCAATACAATACAGGGTGAGCCATTCAAAAAAAGGAAGTTGCTAGGACTTTTGACAATTTTGAAAATATTTCAGATCGATAGATCAGGTGATAAAATGTGAGAGGCAAAATTTTCAGAGGAATCCTTTGTAGCGATCTCCATAAACGTCTTACCTACCATCGACCATGAGTCACCTGTATAAACATTGTTCAGTCAGAAATAATGGCACCTATTTCTGGATGAATATCAAGTTGAGACCAATTTATGAAATCAGCAAATAGCACAGTGAAAGTTCGGATTTTTTGGTGGTGATAGGAAAAAATTTTGTGCATTGTACAGGGCGATTCACAATAAATGTCCCTCCCTCTAGCCCAGGTATTTTTGAACCGATCCCAAAATTTGGAGAATCATTCGATATGATTTTTGATTAATTTTTCTCCGGCTACATCAGAAAATACATGGTGCTCGGAACAAAACAATCTACAGGGTACTATTTGATTTTTTCAAATGGAACACCCTGTGATTCATTTTATTTTTAGACCATGCCTGAACAGCTCATTTCATCAATAAAACACACTGGGGTCTAGCAGGAATGATTACAGAGATATAAAGGTGTTCAAAATCGAGATTCTTCAACTTTAGGATTTTTTCTATCTCAACTTTTGATTTATTATCTACTGACATTAAATGATTGGAGCAGATTTAGGGTGATCAGGATTCTGAATCTTGAACCAACTGAATCTCAGTAGATAGTAGATCAAAAGTTAAGATAGGTACATGTAAGTCGATTTGACCAATAATAAATAGTTTAGACAAAAAAAAATATAATGTTGAAAAATCTAGATTTTTAACACCCTATATCTTTGTAGTCAATCCTGATAGGCCCCAAATGTGATGCATTGATGAAATCAGCTCTTCAGGAGGACTCTAAAAATGTAATGAAATAATGGGTGTGTGTGTGTGTGTGTGTGTGAAAAAAATTACTCACCCTGTAGATCGTCCATCCTCTATTTTCTGATGTAGCGGAAAAAATGTTCTGAAAATTATTTCAAGAGGATTTTCAAATTTTGAAATCCATTCACAAATGAGGATATTCATGGTGAATCACCCTGTACGTTGGAAAGTGTATTTTCATCTTGCCAGCCAATTAGACTTTGCGGTGATTTCATCATGATCATTCCTCGAGAATTTCGAGCATAAAATAACATTTTCCACTGGGGAAATCTCGGGCTCTTTCAATTCACAGTTTATCGTCGTGACATCGTTATTTCCATTCAGTGAACAGGAAATATTTGGGTAGATTTCCACCTCTATAGGACATTGTCAGTGGAAACTTCGGATTACACGTGATATTTTCACCTAAAACATTCCGAATGCTTACTGGGTTCAGCTCACGAAATACTGATCAGTCTGAAAGTAAGTTTGTTTGTGGAATATGTAAAAACTCACAGATACTGATGCAGAAATGAAGCTAATTTTTTCTCAGTTGATGATCCAAAATGGGTTGGAGTTTTATAATTTCGATTATTATTCTTGATGGTAGGATAAACTTCTTGAATAGCTTTATTATGAAGTTTTTTAGAAAGAATACTGTCTATCAAATTATCGTTGCATCCGTTGTTGACTGCAATCTGTTTTATTAAATTGGATCAATATCATGTTAATTTGATAGACAGTATTCTTTCTAAGAAACCTAACGAATCATTACTGTAAAATTTACACTTACCATCTTGTGAAAGGACAACTTCATGATTCATTCCTGCATCGAAAAATTTCGATGTCCTACAGCAAAGCACCAAAACACACACATACAGGGTGGCCCACGGTCGATGGTACCTTAGACGTATACGGAAAACGGTACATTGGATTATCCTGAATATTTGGTTACTCTAATGAGCGTTTGTGATCTAACGATTCGAAATATTTTCAGCGAAGCAGCGTTGCCACTTTCACCAAAAAGTAGCATCATCTTTGTTATTTCGACACAAAAAATTCCTGAAATTGAAAAATCTCGATTTTGAACACCCTATATCTCTGTAATAATTCCTGCTAGACCACAAGTGTGATACATTGATGAAATCAGCTCTTTGAGAAGAATCTAAAAACGCAATTAAATACAGGGTGTTCCATTTGAAATAACAAAGATTATGCTACTTTTTGGTAAAAGTGGCAACGCTGCATCGCTGAAAATATTTTGAATCGTTAGATCACAAACGCTTATTGGAGTTACCAAATTTTCAGGATAATCCAATGTACCGTTTTCCGTATACGTCTAAGGTACCATCGACCGTGGGCCACCCTGTATACTACTACAAATTCAATATAATCACTGAACTGGAAGAATTTTAGTTCATTATGATTTTCCTCAGAGAATAATAATCCCTGCTTCAAATTTATCTTATGTTTGGTGCAAAGTTGATGTATCGTCTATCATTCAGGAGCAAAATTCATTTAGATTGTTTTTTTCTGTACTGAAATAATGACAAAGTCATCTATCAGAGTATAATCAAACTACTTTACATATCTAACCAGAGTTCAGGACAATTTCGTCAAAGTTACAACTGGAAGAGTATTAAGAACACAAAATGGAATAAAACATTGAAATTCGAGACACAAGTTTTGATATTTTTATATGAGTACTAGGTAAACATTATTCTTTATTCTGTGACGGAAAAAAAGTTTGGCATTTCATCTCTGTTGGCATTTCATCTCTGTTGGCAGGTTATAAAATGTCACTTTTCATAAAGTCAGTACTTTTCCCCGGATATATATACACTGTTGATGGCTTTTGTTGTGCTATAGTTCCGAAAAATGAGTCAATAATACCGTCTCCGAGAAAGAACTGCAAGTTCTTTCATCTTTCATTCGACTTCGCGGTTACGTATATTACTAAACAACCACTAAATTCGCAATTTTTTGCAATCAAATCACAGAATTAGACTGACAGAAGTGACATCAGATATATGATTACTTCAAAAAAATGATGAAGATGCCTACAACGCAGGTGTCCCTACTATTAAAAAGTTAAAATTTCATGTCGATAATTTTCAGATTCCAAAATAATGTAATATCTTCTCAATATTGATTCGTCCTCATTTTTGTCGCAGAAAAAAATAGTGCTTCATACACGGAAAAAATATTAGATTTAAGCTCACGCTACGCTACGCGTCGGGAGACAACACAACCTGGAGCTGAAATCTACTCCTTTTTTTTCGTTGTATAATAAATAACTATTTCACTGACCACATCGTTCCGAAGGTACGGGGTGGCTCTCGTTGGCGTCCGTCCCGCTCAGCTGCCCGAATTCTACGAGGACACCATCCTCCTGAACCCGGGCCCGCGTCACATCATGAAAAAGGACGACACCTGCTACTACATGAGCATCACCAAGGAGGAGAACTCCGCTTTCACGGTGGCCAATCACCAGCAGCCGCACAACGGCAACGCCCCCTCGGAGGCGGTCGTTGTCACAGCGAAAGGAGAGGAGAAGGGGTCAGTTGTTGCGGCGACAGCGGCAGGCAAAGACGGTAGCGCACCACCTCCTCAACTCATCTTGCAAGTGCCCACGTGTGTCAGTGAGTGTTGTCACGCTAGCGCATGCGCGGTTGGTTTTCTTTGTTGTATTCTTGTGGGCATTGAGGTGGGAAGTCGGCTCTTCTCATTGTCCTCATTGCCACAAAAATATTGTTGTTTTTAGTAGGGGATAAGGGATGACCAAAATCATCTCATAAGGTTCCATGATTATGATATTCTTCACTAGGTTCTACCATAATTTTTTCACCACTAGCAATGTCGTCATGATCACGAGGGTGTTGAATTTTTTTAAAATACTTCAGAAATGTCGGTTTTGTTCTATCTTTGCCGTTCTAAATGGAAACCTACCTGTTAATGGCACTGGTATACTGATAAATGTCAATAGTTCATTTGTTTCGATGGAATATTTGTCGATATGGACAATTTTAGGTTGAAGCTCTCCTCTTCTATTCATAATATTTTTTTCTGTAACGGGAAATAAGTTTGAAATTTCATCTCTGATGACAGGTTATGAAAGTGAGTACTTTTTTCCCGGATATATATCACATATATATACACTGTTGATGGCTTTTGTTGTGCTATGGTTCCGAAAAATAAGCCAATATTACCGTCTCCGAGAAAGAACTGCGAGTCCTTTTATCATCCATTCGCCTTCGTGGTTATGTAAATCACTAAACCATCAAATTCGCAATTTTTTGAAATTATATCAAAAGAATGGTGAAGATGCTTGTAAGGTGTTATTCTTGTAAAAAATATCTTCTCGATATTAATTCGTCATTTTCATTATTCTGATTCTGATAATGGGCTGGACGTTTTTAGTTAAAAAACTTATCAAATCAGTGTTAACTTCCAATGATGGCTATTCTAGGTATACTTCATAGTTGAATCTGAATTATTCATTCGATAGTTCTAAAATCCCATTTTTCCTGTCATACTTTTTTAAAGTTAACTTGATTTTTCCCACTGTAGCAAAAACTACATTAGCCTTTGATGGGGTAAGTTTGAATCATGAGAGAAATATCATCGTCATGCGTGAAAATTTGAACCACGAAAAACAAAGATATAGCATCATTTTTCGTGTTCATCATCATCACTAATCGTGCTGATCAGCTTGTTATGCGGTGTTGTCACAATTTTCTACGGTTACAAAGGCGTCAATAGCCGCTGTGTGGATGGAGTCACTGCCTATTTTCAGGAATTTGTTGCCATTCAATGCGAATCTATCGAAATCTAGTAGATTGTTTTATTAGGATCAAAAGTGTAACTTTGTTTGACAAGCGAATTCTGCATTTGCGAGGCGGAGCGTCTAACGAAGCAAGCGAAAGCAAAATTTGCGAGTCAAACAAAGTCACTTTTAAACCGAATGAAACATGCTATTTTTTCTGCAACCGAAAGATTTAACCAAAATAAATATGTGGAGTAACCACCGATGCCGTGCCATTCCACTGTGTTGGGCTCGGTAATCAAATGGAGGGAAACAATATCGTTGTGTGAGACAAAAAAGTATTGCTGGCCGTGATTATTCAAAGATTTATCCATCTCGAGAATAACGAATGGATACAGATCAAGCCAGTATGTGAATCTTGGAGGCTCTCCTGATCAAAACAATTATACTCAACTATAATATGCCAAATCTGTCGAAGGTTTGCGTTTCAACCCAAATAACCAATCTAATAATGTTGTTTATTCGTGATGGCGTCTAGTACATCCTTTTTAGTTCCTAGGAGCTGAAGTTCTACTTCAGGAACTGAAAGTGTTGCCTAGCAACATACCTATGTTTGTGTCAGTAATAGAAACGTCAATTCAAGAGCTAATTTTGGTATTACAATGGACGAATTTTGTTTCGGTTGCAGAAAAAATATACTTGAATGTTCCAATTCCAGTGATTTTGCTTGGGTGTGTTGAATTGCTGAAAGTAGCAGTGGCGTAAATCAATGAGTCACCATGTACATGGAAAATATAAGCTTTTTATGTCTCGCACTCTGAACAACTCCACCGTGCAAGATGGGCCATACGGAAGTAAAGAAGTACGGACACAGCGATAAACTTTAGAGAGTTGTAAAATGTCGGGTATGAGACAAGACATGTCGAGAAGATATTGGAGAGTTCTGGTCATTTGAACTCTAGCTTGAAAGTTCATATACAGAGTGCAACGAATGAAGTGCTTGGTGTGTGGCCCATCTTACATGAGCAATCTTTGTGTACATATTTTTTTGCTAAATGAATATTTCAACGTAACTTATTTTTCTCCAGCCACTTTTCCAGATAGTACTACCAGCGATTCCAGACAATGTCTCAAGGAAGCCTCACCTGGTTCGATAATTTTCGACGTATCTATAACAGGTAGGAAAAATACTCGTGAATTTTTGTACAACTTGTTTGTTTGAGGCTCTCGCCCTTCAGAATTGTGCCACAATCTTCCACACTCGTGAGAAAAGATTAACTTTCCCCACTTGTTGTATAATAGCGGGTTCACCGGAAATTGATCTTGCTCAAGAATTTAAAATGGATATCTGTATATATTTTTTCGCCATGAGATAGAGCAAAGTAGAGTCACTGGATGGTATTATTTATCTGAATAATACCATCCAGCGACTCTAGAGCAAAGCAATCCCTCTTCAGTGATATTTCACAAGAGGATATTTGTTTCCAAAATGGCGGCACAGAAAACATTTTGTCTAAAACAATATATGGTGATACTGTGACGTCATCGATGGATTGTTTCCGTTCATGAAACCTGATAAAATAACAAAATAACGAAACAAATTGACTAGATTTTGATCCCTTATGCCCTGACACCCATTGAATAGTTACCTTGTTGTGGTTAGCCAGGGTTAGCAGGCTTTGAAGGCAATCCCAGACCAGTTTCGATCTGATTTTATTGCATGTTAAAGATTGAATGGCCGCCTGACTATCTGAGCATATGAGGATTTGCTTACCTCTGTATCCTCTTACACCACCCGGTATACTATCCCCCTTTTTTGCCTCATAGGCAATCACCTGGACATCCCCCGCGGAACCCCCGGAAGCTGCGGAGGAGGAGACAACCCCAACCTGTTGAGCCCCGACGCCATCAACCAGCGTCGCAACTCGCGTCGTCCCAGCATCCTCCCCGTACCAGACATGGTCACCGGCAGCACCCTCAACATCGCCCAGGCCACCGAAGAGGAAGAGGAGGAGGAGGAGGGAGACGAAAGTGAAGATGAATTGGAAGACGACGTGCCTTGGAGATCGCCGAGTGAAAAAATCGCGTAAGTGAAGGTCATAGTTGAGGTCATAGTCAAGGTCATAATGAAGATCATCTCGCGTAAGTCATAGTTAAGGACATCGTCAATGCTATATTTATGTGTCAAGGTCACTGTATTATTTGTGTCAATGTCACCGTATCAGTTATGTCAGAGTCATCTAAGGTCTTGTTTTTCTCATCAAACTCACTGTGGATCATGTGTTTCAATGTCAAGATCATTATAACTCTCGATTTGAAGGTCAAAGTCACCGTGGTTATTGTGTTTCAATTATCGAATAACTTATGTTATGATGCTGACGTCATCCAAGACCTCGATTGGAGGTCACACCATGGATCTGATGATTCAATGCGTGATCACTATGGATCCTGTGTTTCAATACCAAGGTCAATGTGGATCTTGTATTTCTTATCGAAGTTATAGTCATTGTGGAACTTGTTTCTCTTATCAAAGTTATTTTGGATCTTGTGTTTCAATGTCAAGATCATTTCGGTTGTTGCTTTGAAGGTTGAAGTTTCCGTGCTAATTGTGTCACGATATCGAGGTCATCAGAAATTTTAATGTTTCAATATCAGGATCATCCTTGGATCTTGCATGTATTCGAATACAAAGGTAACCATAGAACTCATGTTTTCGAAGTCATCACTAATTTTGATTTGAAGACCAGAGTCACCGTGGATCTTCTGTTTCAATTTCGAGGTCATGGATCTTGTGTTTCAACGCCAAGGTCATTGTAGATCTTGTATTCCTTATTAAAGTCATCGTGAGGCTAGTGTTTTGATGTCTAGGTGATCGTGGGTCTTGTGTTTCAAATCCAAGGTCACCTTTTATCTTCAGTTTCAATATCGATGTCTTTATGGATTTTGTGTTGCAGTTGTGGATCTTGTGTTCAAATGTCGTGGTGTCCATGGATCTTATGTTTTAATACCAAGGTCACCTTAGATCTTGAGCTTTCACGTCTAGATCATGGTGGATCTTGTGTTCCCATGCCAATATCATCATAATTTTATGTTTTGATGTCGACATTCTTTATAATGCTCCATTTGCAAAAACAACCAAAGTTGAGTGTTGTTATTCCGAAACGCTCTGAAAAATAGTGTGAAAGATTCAGATTCCTCATGGAAAGTGCCTTAATGTGACAGATGTATACCTACACTAGGTTACACTACTACACTAACCTTTCACCAGCATTTATATTTCACTGTTCTGTGCCTGGTGCTCTGATTCTAATGTCTGTGATGTAGAATAGAATGATGAATGAAGCAGTTATCATACAGTAGTCTTTCAATTCAGACATCCAGTCTCCAGCACTCTCCCGAGACCACATACCACATGGCGCAGTCGGTAGGATCCGAACCTATTCTGTTTCTCTACAATAATTATTCAAAAACCAGTATATCATACTTTAGTCGCCAGTTAATATTAAAATTACTGGTTGGTTCGTTTATTTCAAGTGTCTATTAGTGTACGAAAAATGTTTTCTCGAAAGAAAATATCATTTCGTGAAGTTTATCGATGGAAAGTTGTTCCGCTCGCCTGAGAGTAACTTTCCGAAGCTCTGTTCCAGTTCTGTCTTGTGTCGTTTCTAATTTAATTTCGTCGAACTTTTCAAAGAGCTTGGCTCGACGTTATCCACATACGAGTTTCATGGCTTTTATTCTTATTCATCTCCCATCCATAGAAGGTACAACGTTTATCGATTGCTTTTCATCATGATATTAATCGCTTTATATTGCGAACTCTAAAATTGATGAAATACATAGATTCACATTTTTCGAATAACTTTCATCAGTTCCGGAAAGCTTCAAAGAAGTTTCGAGTCAAAATAAATATAATTTGTTGAAAATATGACATGAGAATTGTGAATCCCTATCTATATAAACCATTATGCATGTTAGAATTAATTCAATTATATTATTGATCAGGTGCATACTGATTGATTATTTGATCTCCACTGAGTCAAGGATACAATTTCTCTGGGTTATTTATCTGGTCAACCAAATGATTTTTCTATAAAAAATTATTAGTTTCAGCAAAATAAAAACGATAAAAGATTCCAGAGTATAACACGAACAGGAACATCAAAGGCTACAACTTTCATCAAATAATCACTCTGTCTGTACACTGAAGTATCTGTTTCTATATGTCTCTAACCTCAATCTGTGTAACTCTATGTGCTTTCTCCGTTCGACTGACCCCCACCCCTGCATTCCGTCCTACCCAAGCACGATCATCACTTGCACAAATTCTGTCTTTCTCTCTCTCTTTCTCCTCTGACCCTAGCACTCTCCCCAGGTCCGATTACTACCGACAAGATTCCGAAGATAGCGCTCGGATAGCATGGCATGGTGAATGCGTTAGGTAAGTTTCCTTTTCTCTCTATCTTGCTCTCTCTTCCTCTCTCTCTCTCTATCTATATCTTGCTCTCTTGCTTTCCTCTTCATTCTATCAGAGGGAGTTATCACTTGTGAAGCCAAAATGTTCCTTGAACCTAGTACTATTAGATCTTCAAGTTTGACCTATATACGCTTTAACACAATCGTTATGTCTCTCGGAGTGTGATTTTATCCGAGATTCGTAATGGTACTACACTTGTTAAACATGAAACTAAAGTGATCGCTTCCTTCCTCTACGAGTACCTATTCTTTATCTCTGATTGTTCGTAGTGGTTCATAGACGAGAAATACAAGAGTCTCATGAAGTCATGTGGCTATTTTCCTAATTATATGTGTTATTTCATGCTATTTAATTCAATAATATCTTGACATCGTCAATCTCACTAAGCACATTTCTCTTATTTTTATTGAAATTAATCACTTAATTATATAGGTTTCCAACACCCAGTGAGACAATAGATCGTCTACGACCGTGAGACCTCGTACTTAGAGTATGATTGTGGATCCTTTTGTGTAGAAACTATAGAGTGACGTACATACAATGGTGGTAGTTTGTAGTTTAAATCCATCCCTCGCTTTCTGTGTTCTGAATGTATGTATTTCACTCGGGTAATGCCCTGAATAATATTGTCAACAGCATACAATAACAGCTCGGTTGACAAAGGAAATATGAACGCAAAATAAAACTAGGAAATTGTATATGGTAAATGCAAGTAATGTTTTATTGGAGTTGTTATAAAGAGAACAGAACAAGGTATTTCTGTGTTATCATGAACATTGAATATTAAACTTGAACAACACGTATAGTAGGATATCCGGCTGCAGATTTCTAACCGTCATCTGATAACTATACCTGTATCGCTAATACCACAGAATATATCTGTTATGAATCGAAGAATCATATATTTACTCCTGATAAAAATGTTTCCTCTATAAAATTTGATGAAAAACAGTTATTTATTCATCATCATTCCGAATCAATTGGGATTGAATCGATGAATCCAATATTTGACAGATATAATTCGATATTCTGTAGTGTTAGCCAGGAGAGTAGTTGTTATCTGTTGGATATCTTAACAAAGATCTTCTTATTTCTCAAAGAAAAAACTCACTTCCAACCAAGGGGTAATTTGGACGATGGGAAACCAGATTCAATGTCCACCATTTTTAACTTCTTTATCATCAAAGATTGTTCAAATCAGTTCCTTAAGAAGGAAGGATACCAAAAAGAAATATTGAGCATCGCGTTTCAGACTTTGCACTTCTGTCTATGATATTCCGTTTGTAAAACTCACACCAATTGTTCTTCAAGTCAAAAACTCTAAGAGTTTCGTATTTAAACACTTTTGTATATTTTTCCCCCCAGCATCGTGAAGGGTTTCCCCCCTGTTAGCCCCTACATAGGGGTGAGCCCTACCCTCTGCTACCTCCTCAAAGAGAAGAAGCCTCTCTGCTGCCTCCAATTAGCTCAGATCTGTGAGCACTGCAGCTACAGGAACGCCAGAGACTACCAGTGGCAGAACAAGACGATCATTCTTGCTGCGGATTACGCCTCGAATGGGATCTATAATTTCATTATACCGTTGAGGGCGCACTTTAGATCGAAGACGTCCCTGAATCCGATTATTTTGTTACTGGAGCGAAGGCCGGATATCGCGTTCTTGGATGCGGTGTCGTACTTCCCTTTGGTGTACTGGATGTTGGGATCGATCGATTGGTAAGTTCAGGAAGATGGTTGGTTCAGTGTTTTTTATTATTTGCTATCAGGTTCTTCGCTGGAAAGTTCTAGAACATTCTGGAAAATTTAATTGCATTCTAGGACTTCATAGAACAAGCTTGCAGATCCCGAAGTTTCTAGAACATTCTGAAACTTTTTGATGTATTCTAAGACATCATGAAACAATCTTGCAGATTGAAGATTTTAGAACATTCTGAAACATTTTATCGCATTCTAGGATATCATGAAACAATCTTGCAAATTCCGAAAGTCCTAGAACATTCTGAAACATTTTAGTGTATTCTAGGACATCATGAAACAATCTTGCAGATTCTGAAGGTCCTGGAACATTCTGAAACAGTTTATTGCCTTCTAGGACATCATGAAATAGTCTTTGAAATCTTGAAGATTCCAGAACACTCTGAAACATTTTATCGCATTCTAGGACATCATGAAACAATCTGCAAATTCCGGAGGTTCTAGGATATTCTGAAACATGAAACAATCTTACAGATTCGGACGGTTCTAGAACATTCTGAAACATTTTATTGCATTCTAAAACATCATGAGATAGTCCTTGAAATCTTGAAGATTTTAGAACACTCTGAAACATTTTATCGCATTCTCGGACATCATGAAACAATCTTGCAAATTCCGAAGTTTTTAGAACATTCTGAAACATTTTTGTGTATTCTGGGACATCATGAAACAATCTTGCAGATTCTAAAGGTTCTAGAACATTCTGAAACTTTTTATTGCATTCTAGGACATCATGAAACAGTCTTTGAAATCTTGAAGATTCAAGAACATTCTGAAACATTTTATGGCATTCTAGGACATCATGAAACAATCTTGCAAATTCCCAAGGTTCTAGATTTTAGAAAATTCTGAAGCATTTTATTGCATTATAGGACATCATGGAGCTATCTTGCGAACCCCAAAGGTTCTAGTGGATTTCAAAACATATTTCATCCTAGGAGCCTATGAAACAATCTGTTCCTAGAACATTTTGGGACAGTTTATTCAATTTTGAGTCCCGAAGGTTCTGAAACATTGTATTACATTTTAGGACAGCATGAAACAATCTTGCCAATTCCCAAGGCTCTAGATTTTAGAACATTCTGAAGCATTTTATTGCATTCTGGGGCATCATGAAACAATCTTGCAAATGCTGAAAGTTCTTGAACATTCTGGAACATTTCAATTAATTTTAAATCTCAAAGGTTCTAGAACATTTCATTGCATTTTCGGACATCATGGAACATTCTTGCATATTCCCAAGGTTCTAGATCTTAGAGCATTCTGAAGTTTTTCATTGCCTTCTAGGATATCTTGAAACAATCTTGCAAATCCTGAAGGTTCTAGAACGTTCTAGAGAACAATCGTCAATTTCATGGAAAATTCTACAACATCCCGGAACATCATAGAATATTATCGAACCTTCTGGAAGATGTCATAACATTCTGCAAACATCACAGAATCACTTTTTTGTCATTTTTCATGTGACGATAAAAATTGCATCGTTATTGAACTCAGTTCACTAATTGAATTGGATAATTATTTTGGGACAATTATTTTTCAGTCTGGATGATTTGCTTCGTGCTGGAATTACATTGGCCGAAAACGTGGTTGTCGTCAATAAAGAATTGTCCAATTCGGCTGAGGAGGATTCCTTGTCTGATTGTAATACGATCGTGGCTGTGCAAACAATGTTCAAGTGAGTCTCATTCGAAAGAATAAAAATTCATTCTGAATTCATTCAGAACAATAAATATTTTCAAATTGTTTTCTTTAGATTTTTTCCGAGCATCAAAAGTATAACAGAGCTATCTCAATCATCGAATATGAGGTTTATGCAGTTCAGAGCCCATGACAAATATGCACTGCATCTTTCCAAAATGGAGAAGGTAAGTTTTGAATCATTTCGTTTTTTCTCTGTATAGAATATTTACACATGAGATTTTTTTATAAGAATGTACTCATTCTATCCTGATTTCTTCCCATTTAGAAAAATAGAGGGAACTGCTGTTGTAACTAACTGTGGGTTTTCAGCAATTTTTTCTAAATTGATCCGTCTGTTTCAACGAAATGGATTGCAGACACTGCGGCACGTTGATATGGTGACCAATTTTCACGAGGTATCGAAGATATCCACTTCTTCGCAGTTCTTCATCTTTAGGAAACATAAACATCGAAACATATTCCGTTTCCGATGCGTAATTTGACTCACAGTCACACAGCAATTATTTGGCATCTCCTTATGAGAAAGTTTGAAATAACTTACACACAAACATTCTTTCCACCTATAACTCGATCACTAGAATATTCCTTATACTTTTCACTGGTTTTCAACAATAATATTCCACATTGATTGATAACACATCAATTCACTCTCGAAAACTGCAAACAATAACTCTGTTACATGCAAAACCCATATATTATCTTATTTGTGCAAATGGCTGGAGGTAGACCTTCTGAACAGTGTTGCCAGACTGGGCTCACCGATGGTGACGGCTCACCGCGGCTTTCCTCTTTAAAAGATGACTATGGTCATGTGCGAAGCTAGTATGAACGACAAGCGCGTCTAGCTAGTCTTTCAAACCTCAAGGTTATCAGAAGGTTATTCGTGTTCATAAGACTTATAAGGTAATATGAGGAAGGAAAATATATCTTCTGCATAAAAAACGGAAGTACATCCAACTTAACTCGACCTAGATGAACCTCTTTTCTGAAAAGTATATATTTTTTAAACAATTGAGTGAAAAAACAATTGACCCCTCGCAGGGATTGAACCCCAGTCACCAACTTAAAGTCAGATACACAGACCACTAAGCTATAGCTTCACTCCTAGCATCGTAGTTTCTCAATATAATGAAGGAAAAAATATCATATGTCATGGGTGACGTCACTTGACCTCAATGTTTGAAAGAATCGCTGATCTAGCTAGACGCTTCTGTATAGACGGTGCTCTTTTCAGAAGTACCTAAATCTTTCGAACCTTTCCCATCACGTGATATGTTGTTTCTGATGATTATTTTTCGCTATAAAGTTGTGGAGGCTGAGTTTGGCCAGAGAGTTTTATTCTGGTCCTTTAATAGCATGGCGCACCAGTCCACTGTGATCATTTGTTTAGTGATTTAGGCTTTCAAGGATATTTTTACTTCCTCTCGAGACCCTGAGAGTTTCGTTAATAATAATAAGTTTTTCTACGAGCAAATGCGCATGCGTCTATAATGTATCACGTGACTCACTATGACCAATCTGACAATGAGGTTTGGGAATTTTTCGAAAACTTAAGGCTCTCGTCTCTTTTCCAGAGGGAGAAAGAACGGGGCTCGCACATCTCGTACATGTTTCGTCTGCCGTTCGCCGCAGGCACCGTCTTCAGCGCCAGTATGCTGGACACCCTCCTCTACCAGGCCTTCGTCAAGGATTACGTCATCACCTTCGTCAGGCTGCTGCTGGGCATCGACCAGGCTCCCGGATCCGGATTCCTCACGTCGGTGAGTCCGAATCTATCGATCGACAATATAACCTGTTGATTCGAATGTAGGCACCTGTTGATCGACAAAAACATATTGATAGTACAACCTGTTGATTGAAATTATAGAAAAATATGAATATTATTTCAATATACGTGTAGTAAGGACAAATCAGATGATTTGCCCCAAAATGTCACTGCATTTGAAGAATTTTCCTATCAGAGAGCCAAAAAGAAAAATTCTCTAGCTTGTCAGTGACAATTTGTATCGAAGAAAGTTTGGAGAAGAGAAACCTATTGATCAATAGAAACCTGTTGATTGACATTTACCCATGATGTTGATTGGCGGAAACCTGATGCTGATTGACGAAAAACTTGGGAGTTTCAGATGAAGATAACGAAGGACGACATGTGGATCCGGACGTACGGCAGGCTGTACCAGAAGCTGTGCTCGACGACGTGCGAGATCCCGATCGGGATATACAGGACGCAGGACACTTCCGTGTCAGATTCGTCACACGTGAGTATGAGCGCTGCCTCATCGCCGTGGTCGTCGTGTGTGCGTGTCCCGTCGGTGAGTAAAAGAAAAAAAAACAATGTTGTTATTGGTGGAATTTTTCTTCTTCTTCTCCTTTTATCTTCTTCGTGGTTTCGCTGGAAAAGATGGATGCCGCTTTTTTTAACCACTTTGTCTTTATCACTCTTTGTGAAGGCACCGGTTATGGACTATCGATACAGGATGTCTCTGTGTATTTTGACTCCTTCCTACAGCTTCAACTATACGGGGTGGAAAGAAACTTCAAATATTGAAGTGCAGAAAAATAGTCCTAGACAGTTATTTCAAATGGAACACCCTGTATATTCTCAACATATGTGAAATATCTCTCTCTTATTCACAAATATACAGGGTGTTCCGAAATTTCATTGAAATATTTCAACCCAACATAAGCTTGTCAGGAGTAACCATACCTTTAAAGACATCTATTTCGATACTTGATATTATTATATCAGCAATAACCTTTCTTGGGAAAATCACGTGAGATCAATTGCTAAAAGTGCATCCCAAAAACTTGGTTTCCTGTTTCGGGCCAAGAGCTATTGCACTCCCAGTCAGCTGCTTATGATCTATAAGGCACAGATCAGACCTGTCCTGGAATACTGTTTCCATATATTTGGAGTGCAGCAGCCTAACATACCCTGAAACTGTTGGATTCTGTCCAAAAAAGATCGTCTCGTGGGTGACGCCTCGCCCACGAACTTCTGGCGATCTAGCTTTATTTTATAGATATTGGACGATGCTCTTCTGAAATATCAACAATTGTTCTTCCCTTGGCAGTCCCCGCGAGATTAACTCGTCGAGTTGAAGCTTCGCACCCCTTCGTGGTCACTTATTTGGAGACCAGCAGAACATCTATTTCCAAAAACTCGTTCATCCAACGAACAGCGAGGCTCTGGAACACATTGCCAAGGGATGTGTTCCACGAAGCATAAATCTCCAGAAATTTAAGAAGAATACCAAATCCTACCTCATTTCCCTTGGTTCTCACGATGTTCTCTGAACGTTACAGGATATCCCTTTTCGTGGGAACCAGAACATAAAAAAACCACAGCTTCTAGGAAAAAAAAATAGTAAAAAGAGGTCATCCAAACATGAAACAGAAATGATCCCCTCTGAGGAGCTATATAGTCATCTGGAAGAGAAGATGGCTCTTTGGAAATATTTTCGTAATAGAAATAGTTTTTTTTCTCAATAATACTTTTGGATTTATTCCCATTATTATTCCTCTCATGAATCAAACATCACAATTAGATGACATGAAAACTACAAGAGCACATTCCCAACTCCTGGCTTCGATTGAAAGTTTGACATATTTTTCCGTCATGTCATCGCAACGTCAGATGATGACCTTGGCAATCGCGAATTTTTGCATAATTCCCCAGGTTTTTGTTCCCAGAATCTGTGGTTGAAACATTTCTATGTAACAAAGGAGAAAAACTTAAAGTCATTACCACAATAGTTCATATAAAATGAACGAAAATGGTAGATAACAAAAGAAAAACAACGACTTTCCTGGCCATATGCCACGCAGAAATCTATGCAATAATTTGTATAGACCTATAGACGACCGTTGCATTCCACTTAAAGTATTTGGATTTTTCCTAGTTGATTTCTATGTAATTCTGCTAACAGTTCCTCAAGCCTTTTTTCACTAATTCAGCATTGAATTTAAGTTGCCAATAACATTATACGATGGCTGTGGACACGTCAGAAATGCCAAGGAAACAGAACAGGCATTTTTTCACATCTCTGTCAGTTTTTCAACGGAAAGGAAAAATTGGAGATATTGCAAAAACTTCAGTAGTGCAAGAATTTAATCGAAAACGATTGAAGGGGACATTAGCAAACAAAAATTGATGTGGTGTATTCTTTTTTTTTTAGTCGATTCGCATTTATTTATTTAATGAATGCCAAAAGATAGAAGGTATACAGATGAAACACTTCGACTTTCATATTTTATGTTTTTTGTTCTCCTCGTATAGTTGAAGCTGTAGGTAGGAGGTTAAAATGAAAGAAGACATCCGTACACCGCGTGAGCTTTTCAAAGGACGAATTGCAATCAATCTTTCATTTTTGTCTATATCTTTATTGATTAATAATTCATAAAATGGTAGTATCATTCATAATAAAATAGATATATGATCATGATTATTTCATCAATGAAAATCTAGTTCTAGAATCAAACTAGACTTTCCGAAAGAGTAAGTGCCTTTGAAGAGCATCCAGATGTCATTTTTTATCACCACCAATATATATTCGCCTAAAATCTGTCTCTTACTTTCCTGCCAATGTAAATCTGCTTTTAAAAGCCGTCATGACTCGAGGAAGATGTTTTCACAAAAATGTAAGTTTTACAGTAAAATTCTAAATAATATTCCCCATTTCTCCTCTCAGATTATTCACTATGTAGCATAAACTGTTCTCAATCTTTCGAATTTTTATAACGTGTATACTCTCCTGATTATAGGATCAACAACGCCAAAAAAGTACTCAAAGTTCTGTCACAATAGTTACTAAAGTATTTATAAAAGTATATTCCTCTATAAACGACAGTACACGCACTCACAAATCAATGAGCAGTTTTAGATCGCATGATATTTTTGTAGGAGCACGAGATTTTATGAAGAAAATATCCAAAAACCTTCAAGATTCATAAAACGAAAATATGGATATTGTTTCCATATATTTGTTCTACATTTCTTGATGTTGTATATAAATGAATCCACCAAGCAATTTCTGTACACGATTTGTATACAACTTCCATTTTCCTCCCTCCTATTTTTATACAGAATGTTACAAACTCGAGGTTGGTCATTGCAGAATTTCCTATTTTTCCAATGTTATTTATGTACCAAGGACGAAATACTGTCTATTATAGTCGAGTCTACAAATTGATAGCCGATGCCTCAGCCGAGGCTAGCAATCAGGCGAGACAAAAGACAGTTTTTCGCCGAGGTGCATATTACATTTTTTCGTCGACCTCAAACACTTATATCATCACGATGCTATTCACACGTAAAATCTGTCGGATCTCGTGAATTATAATTAATTAGTTTGACAGCAACAAATGACAGCTGTTGTCAACTCTCTCTCAGCGCGGACCAGGGTGCCAGTTCGATTTTTATTTCATCAGTGAATACCTTGTCAAGAATTTAGGTCTATTTTATGTATGTGATTAACTGAAGATTAATAATAATATAGGTCATTATAATAATAAAAAGATATTTGCAAATCAGTAGATCTCCTGGAAATTCAGTAGAACTGGCAACCTTGTAGCGGACGAAAAGTGTTTGCGGTCGAAAATTCAGGGTCTGCGGACAAAAAGTATCTGTCTTCGGAAATAGTCGGGTATTCGTTCGAAAATTAGAACGTATTATGTTATATCTCGTAGAGGTCGATAAACAATATAATTGACCAAATTCAAGCTACTTCTTACGGTTCCTCAGATACGATTAGTGACCCTGACATTTGAAAGAACCTCCACCCCGTATACTCTCCTAGAACGCGAAAGAACCTCCACCCCGTATACTCTCCTAGAACGCGAAAGAACCTCCACCCCGTATACTCTCCTAGAACGCTGTAACTGTCTGATATTGCTTGTATGTATAGAAGTTTCTTGAAATCAGTTTAGATTCGTTCGACTTTCATTAGTTCCATTGCTAACTTACAACTACTAATATAACTTCAGCACATCTTATATTATTCGAACATCTGTCGTTTCATTTATCCATCATTCTAAC